CTGCGGGCTGCTACTGCCGCAACGACGCGAAAAAAGCGTGTTTCGAGAAGTGCGGTGGTGAAGAGCCAACCTACGACGACTGCAGTGTCGACATCATAAGCCCCCAGCCCGCACCAACACCAACGCCAGTGCCATTGCCAGAACCTATTTGCGTATGCGAGGACGTGGTTTGCATCCAATCTATACCCGAAAGCTGTCTTTGCCGTTATGCCGCGGACAAGGCCTGCTTCGAGAAGTGTGGTGGGGAAGAGCCGACCTACCAGGACTGTGGCGTTGATCTCACACCTCGTGCCGCAGAGCCCGTACCGGAACCAGTACCAGAGCCACAAGATCAAGTCTGTATCTGGTGCCCGGAAGCCGATTGCACTCTAGCTTTCCCTGAGGGCTGCTACTGTCGCAACGACAACGCGAGAAAATGCTTCGAGGAATGCGGTGGTCCAGAGCCGATTTACGAGGACTGCAGTATCGATATCGCACCTCGTGCTCCAGAGCCCGTGCCGGAACCAGTACCCGAGGCACAGTCCGAGGTTTGCACTTGTGAGCCCGTCTTCTGCATTCAATCTTGGCCTGAATCTTGCTGGTGCGCCTACGATACAGCGGCAGCATGTGCCGAGAAATGTGGTAACCCCGTGCCTGTCGACACCTGCCCACCTCGCCCCATCGAAGCTCGAGAAGCAGAACCAGAGCCGGTCCCGGAACCCGTAGCTGAGCCACAAGAAGAGACATGCGAATGCGAGCCCGTATCTTGCATAGCATTGTGGCCCCAGTCTTGCTGGTGTTTCTACAACGCGGAAGTGAGGTGCGCCGCAAAGTGTGGCAAGCCCGCACCACCTCCCTCGACCTGCCCTCCAATCTCCGTCGAGGCTCGTGTAGCAGAGCCAGAGCCTGCTCCTGCGCCCATTCCTCCTCCCCCTCCTCCTCCAGAGTGCGAATGCCCTCTGGTCAACTGCATCTCGACACAGCCTGAGCTATGTGAATGCCTGAATGCTTCTGCACAGAGATGCTATGAGCTTTGTGGTGGAGAGAAGCCCGTACCCCAAGTAAGCCAACTTGCTACTAAAAAGTCTGAATCAATCTAACAATACAACAGGTCTGCCTACCAGACGCCAGCACAACATTCTCAACCAGCATCATACCCATTCCTACCCCCGTCAATCCTCGCCAAGCTACCCCCATCAACCAGATCTGTGGCGGCGGTCGCGCAAGTCCTCTTCAAGAGTGTCCCGCAGGCCAGACTTGCATCACTGACCCTTTCACGCCTGGCTCTTGCGGTCCTGCTTGCGATATGCTGGGTATATGTGTCAGCGAGAAGCTGTGTGGTGGTTTTGCGGGCTTTGAGTGTGATGTCCCAGGCCAGATCTGTGTTGATGACCCGAGGGACGACTGTGATCCGTTGAATGGCGGGTCCGACTGTGGTGGACTGTGTGCTTGGCCGCAGTGAGTTTCTGAGATGGGCGGTTGGTGAGAAGGACTTTGGGAATGAAGAGCGTGTATGTCAGAGGTGGTAGATGTGTTGTCATTCTTTACGACATTCTTTGATTGATATCAGCGACGAGTTCCATTCTTTTACCAAAATTGCAATCGTTTGATCTCTCCAGACCTCTCCCGGAATTGGTCTCTGAGTCCTTTTTTTTTCCTTTATCCCCGCTTTTAGTAGACCATTTATGCGGACTGGAACCCGCATTACATCCCAAGACTCCTGTTCATCTTGTTCCCCGCCTTGACTAACATCGTCATCAACACCGCCACACTAGCTGCCCACGTCCCACTCCTCAGGTAGCTCGTCTTGTTCTTCTCAACCTTCACATACAGGAAACTGTATATGACGCGTAGACCGATATACGACGCTACCATGGTGTTCATCGTTGCTGTTTAGTTTCGTCGTCAGCATGTATTCACATTCGCCCCATCGTACGCAGATGCCCATTCATCCCATCGCCCTCAACTGAACCACAAATAGAGGACTTACCAACATCCAACCCCACCGCATTCCCCGCCAACACCGCCCCAATGAAAAACGGTGCGTTCTCCATGCTATTCTGATGACAAGCTTCTGCGCGTTCGGCTTTCGCGTAGATCGCGTCGGGGGTACATTTGCGGTAGTGTTCTAGTGTGGAGGCGCCGCGTGGGTTGCTGTTGTTGCGTTGGCCGTTTGTGGCGGCTTTGAAGAGACCTTGCTGGAGGAGATGTGTCAATGGTGATATGGGAAAGGTGGGGAAGGTGGGGAGAGGAGAGGGTATAGGGGGTAAGGAGGCGTACAGAGTAGGCATGTGGGTAGAGGGCTATGATCCAGTATATGGGGATGGCGTGGAGGGAGTAGTTCGTTGGCATGATTGGTTGTATGAGGAGTTTTGAACGCAGCGTTGGTATCCGTGGTATCTGTAGCCTTGATCCCTTTTCGTGTGCAAGACCGGCGAGGCTCTTATGTAGTGCAAGATTCCTGATGTTTAGTCGTGTTGGTAGGTTGTTGAGTGACCCGAGACGCGCATTGACGCGAGATGCTAGTACTAGGATCAGTAATCACAGGAAAGCGCAGACATCAGGCAGTAGCTACCTCGCAAGACTAGCCATGATGAAGTTCGGATCGTCGCAAAGCTCAAGTATGCTTTCGTCCGCGAAGTCGGTCCGTCGCATTGCGGCTCCATTACACGTAACCCAGCACAGAGATATTGTTGCGATGTCCGTGCCAGCGAGTCCACTTTAAACAACTCTACACTTCTATTACTGATACATCCACAACCAACACATGCGCATCCTTTATTTACACTCAACCCCACAACTCTATCTACAACGTGATTTTATCCGCCATGCCCACCCCACCCATCCACTCAATATAACTCTCAATACTCTTCTGCATCGCATCCGTCGCCTTCTCAATCAACCCCGTAATCGGGGTCAGACCCGCCTGCTCCTTCATAACATCGATGAAATCATTATTAAACGCATCGTTAATATTGACCTTCGCAACACCACACTCAATGCACTCCTTGAGCAGCTTCTCCTGGAACCACTCTTTACCCGCACCGTGTAACACGAGAGCAACGCGGTCCCCAACTTTGCTGTGTACGTTGCGCAGACGGGGGTAATCGAGTTGAGGACCTTTAGGACCGTATTTTCCGTGTACGTTTCCGAAAGCGGGGGCTAGCCAGTTGATGCCTGTTGCGACGAATTCTTCTGCTTGTTCGGGAGTGGTGAGAATGGCTTCTAGACCCATTTCACTCAGGTCGCCGACACCGTCTTCGCCGCCGTCGATACGGCCTGGTTCGGCTTCTGTAATAATACCGCGCTCATTGCAGTACTTGACCAACTCCGCCGTCTTTTCCAGATTATCGTCAAAATGGCTCATGTCGACCATGATGCCGTCGAAGCCGTTCTTGAAGTTCGCTGCTTTCTTCACGATTTCTGGTGTTTGCGCGTGGTCCATGTGCAGGGCGACGGGGACGCTGGCGTTGTCGGCGGCTTCGCGGGCGGCGTGCAGGAGGATGCCGTCGGCGTAGTTGATGGCCCAGGGGAAGAGTTGGATGATTAGTGGTGCGCGCTTTGCTTCTGCTGCGCGGACCGAGGCGAGGATGCCTTCAACGTTGTAGCAGCATGTTGCGCAGATGGCGTATTTGTTTGCGGCGGCGTGGGCGACGAGCTTGACGGCTTTGTTTTGGGAGAGGTCGGGGGCCATGGCGATGGTTGTGTAGATGTTTTCAAGGGTATATTTGATATGATGATTTCAGGTACAAGGTAGAAGAGGAAAGGAAGAGAAGCGTGATATGAGCGATGATGCAACTTCCCCTCGTCGTTCCGGTTGCATTTCCGACATTCCGATGTCTTCTCTTATGGTGGGGCTGTCGGCAACTGCTGGATAGCCTCAGCGGCGGAAACACCGATATTCGGGTCATCTGCCGGCTAATTGCAGCACTTGCTGTTAAGCATTGGTACCCGCGGAATGCCTAGTCGGGCATTACTTGCCGCGGTCTTTGCTTTACCCCAGATTTACCCAATAATTGTGACCTTAGAACTTCCACTCGATCCTCATCACCTAGATATCTATGGAATAGAAGGAGACATCCGAGATCTCAGGATCGTGAGAACAATCGACGCATATTTGCTTAGAGTCGCGAAGTTCTAACATCATAGAAGACAATATCGGGGACACTTCGGATAGAACCCCTCCTAGACGATCGTGTGCGAAACCGCATGCCATTTTACGCACCGGCACTTCCACTAGAATTTACCTCGCTGACTATGAAGTTCGTCCAGCTAGCAGATACTGTTCCCGTCAGATGGGCATGTTTCCTCTCTACACTTGTTAGAGTTATTGCCTATCCTCGTCCACACCACGACTGCCTCGCACAGACTGCACGATGATAGAAAACTTTACTTGAAGTTCCACGCTTAATTTCCGTGATGTATGGGCTTTTAATGTACAATCGTAATCATGAAAAGTCCAGCCCAAGCCGATTGACGGCCATGTACCCAAAAGGCTTTGATCCCTAGAACCTTGAACTCCAGCTTCAGCCCAAGATCCGCCGAAGCAAATGCAAAGAAGCACTACTCATCTGAGTGCCTAGATAGAAGAATATGGCATTCGCAATGGCCAGAAAGTGATAACCCTCAGGTGCATATCAGATAAACCACCCACGCCCGAGACTATGGCATGTGCCTGGCTGTCTGAACCAACGCCGCCCATAATAAGATCCCATGGTATCGAGCCGCTCATAACGCCCGGAACTCCACACATGCTAACAAGGAAATATCCGACGTTTCCATCATAACCGTACAAATGCCGCTGAAATCGTCGAAGAAAGGAAGTAGGTGGACTGTGTCTGCGAACAACGCGAGTGAACCGCAATAGTAGCGCGCTGTGATGAACTACACAGACACGTTAGTATCCCATCTCGCAAGTAGCATAAAAGCTATATAGAGGTCCGGTTCACAAGAGGTTCGGCGATGTTCGACATCAGTCCTATAGTACACTATCGGTAGAAGAGCAAAGCAGATAGAATAGTTCAGCGGATGACGCCCCAACTATCCATGCTGCTAAGACCTCCAGTGCGCTCCTTCTTCTTGAACGCATTCCAGAAGCGAAGCGTCTCATCACCAGCACCAGTGACGATGACCTGACCATCCGGGCTCATGGCCAAGTAGAGTACACGGTAGGTGTGGCCCGTTAACGAGACGACTTGCTGCATGCTGGGGTACTTCCAGACAATGATCTGGTTCTGACTGTAACCGTGCGTGGATACGATCTCGTTGCTGTTCTTTGACCATGCTAGGTTGCACACTTGGCTACCAGTATCAAGACTGTTGATGAGATTTGCTGGTGCCGTAGGCGATAGAGGGACGTTGGCAGTGGTTGCAGCTGACGCAGCCGCCGATGCGGAGGCGAGTGCTGAAGCTGACGGGCCGCTGGAGCTGACGAGGGTGTTCCAGAACTTGATAGTTCGGTCTGCTGTACCGCCGCCGCTAGCGAGAAGACCACGCTGATGTGGGCTCCAAGCAATGGCCTTGACAGCGGCTTGATGCTCACTCCACTTAAAGGTAGGCTCGGCGTTGAGCTTGTCCCAGACCATGAGCTTGTTGTCGTTGCCTCCGGATGCGAGTTGTTGATCTTCCTGATTCCACTTGAGGCCGCAGACTTCTTGCTTATGGCCAACAAGCTTGCGCAACCATTGCTCTGGCTGACGCACGTCTCGGTGGTAGATTGTACGGTCTCGCGACCCTGAGGTGAGGATGTGTTCGTTCCATGCAAGGGCGCCGACCCTAGCTGTGTGCCCTGTCATGGTGCGAAGACGGCGCTGAGTCTGCGCATCCCAGATTTGTACTTGGCCTCGGTTGGTTCCGACCGCAATGTGAGAGCCCTGCTGGAGATTAGTACGTGCGGCATATGATCTAGATGGCAGAACTTACGCGCTGTATCCAGTTGACACTTGTAACTGAATCATCGCCAAGTTCACAGAGCTTGGTAACGCGACCGCTACTCGAGTTCCACATGTAAACACATGATCCAAGTCCTACTCCTAGGGTATTTTGGCTGCCCCAGTCCACGAGGTTGAGGTAGAAGTCATCTGCAAGATCCGGCGCATCCAGAACCTTGTATGGTACCTTGGAGACGGCGCGGGCCTGACGTTGTGGGCTAAGAAGCATGCGCTGACTGCTGTATTTGATTGGAGATAGGCTGTAGAGATCTGAACGAGCGTTGAGGTTGAGAATCCCATGTCGACTTGATGGTGTCCTTGACGGAGTTGGCTGGCCCGAGTAGGAGAACAGGTTCTTGTGCGGGGTTGATGGGGTTCCTGAAGGCGGCGGTAACGTCGCTGTGGTTCTGGCTGGAGGGGTGTGCGAGCGTCCTGCCCCTCGCATGTTCGCACTATCTGTCGGCGACAGACTCTGAGGAAAGGCTTGGGGCACGGAGCCCTCGAACATCTCTTGTCGGAGAACGGCGGAGTAGGTGCGGTTGGCTTCTTCGGCTATGGCGGGTTAGTGACTGTATAGCAGAGGACTGCGAGTGCTTACTCTTCTGGAAGTGTAGCTCGTGGTGCGGAGTGCGCCTCGCTTTGGACGGAGTTGCTGGTGAGGCTTCATCGTGGAGCAGATTGTAGCTTGCCTGGAGGTCTTGACCTGCGCGATTTGGGATGAATCTGAGGAGACGTCAGTACAGACAATCCAGTGCGACTAGACTGTTGCAATCTCACCTGTCGCCATATATGCGCGGGCGCTTTCGGCTTGGGCTTGCTGTTGGTGTCCGCTCCCTAACTCGGCCAGCCTGTTCGATATGGCCAAGCGCTTTCGTTAACGCCGCTGCATCTATAGGTTCTGAGCCCCGATCGAGTGGGTTGGAGGGGAAGATCTGGTTGCGCTTGTGCGAGGCAGTAGGCGGTGTCTTTGACTCGGGCGGCGATATCAGTGTCGGGGTTGCGACGCCCTCTTCGGTCTGCGCATGCGCCGCAGCGGTCTCCCCGGGGTCGTCTCGCGCCATCGAGATGGATGCGCCTGGTTATGGGTTTGTTGTTATGTAGACCGGTGCACTGTGCGAAGTGAAGTAACAGAGTCGTGGCGGGGTGAGGGTAATCGAAGATCGCGAGTGGCGGGTGTATTGCAGCTGACAGAACAATGGTTGCCTGAAACGAAGGTGAAGGCGGGAACAATGAGGTGAGTCGCGCGGTGACGTGGAGTCGTGGTATTGTGATGATTGATAGCCCCTAAGTCGTTTGCCCTCCTCTTAACCAATGACAGGTCGTCGCGGCGCACAATAGTGCAGACAATAGGTATCCTTTTTATTCAATTTCGCAGCGCATCGAATTGCGGTAGACGTGGGTATTGTCGGCGTGGTGTTGGCGGTGGGCGCGCAACGGGCGGGGTGGGCGGCGGTGACCTTGTTGTGGTTGCGGGTCGGAGCTTGTATGCTAGACAGGCGCAGGGTGCTGGGGGAGCAACGAGAGACACGGCGGGCGCTGTAAGGAGAGACAATAGTAATGGGCTAATCCTGGGCCAGCTAGGCTATGTAATGTGAAAGCGAAGATGGGGATGGAGATGTCGTCTGAACAGAGCAGCAGGCGAGGTGAGGGTGGCCGCTGCGATGCGCCAGGGCAAGAGCCGTCACGTCGTCGCTGCCATATCCGCATGTTTTGATGTTCGTACCTTCCACCACGACGCGTTCCTTGGGGTCCTCTCATCCAATCAGCGTCGCGCAGGGCCGCCGAGTGGAGTCTAGCGCTAACCTCCGACGTGCCCTCCATCGCCTCTCAATCGATACCCCACACCGCCCGCGGCCAGCTTGTAGACGTCGTGTCCAATCCTTGATGCTGCCATCATCCAAGCTGCGCATTACACTACTGCACCTCGCACCGACAACACCCCTTGTTGTATCACATCCCAAGTTTATACTATCGCGTGTACGAACCATGGCGACCAAACCCTCCCTCAAAGCTGCCGAGGACTTCCTTTCTTTTGTCAATGCCTCGCCCACACGTACGTCGCGTGCTGTCGTTACCTGAGTAGACACTGATTGTAGATAGCATTTCACGCTGTCAAGTCAGCAAAGGAAAGATTAGAGAAGGCAGGCTTCAAGCAGATCAAGGTACGCAACTATGCAGTCTAAGTGTCGACAGTGGGGTATCATGATCCCGTTCATGTATTTGGTGGTAGAGGCAGATAGTAACAATAACCAGGAGCGCGACTCATGGGCACCCACCCTGCATCCCGGAGGCAAATACTACCTCACCCGTAACACATCCTCCATCGTCGCATTCGCTATCGGCAACAAATGGAAGGCGGGCAATCCCATTGCCATGATCGGCGCCCACACCGACTCTCCCTGCCTGCGCATCAAGCCTGTATCCAAGCGAACGGGCGACGGCTTCATCCAAGTAGCCTGCGAGACATATGGTGGTGGACTATGGCATACCTGGTTTGACCGCGACCTCAGCATTGCAGGTCGCGCCATGGTGCGCACAAAGGACGGCAACATTGAGCAACGTCTGGTCAAGGTCGAGCGACCAATCCTGCGGATACCTACTTTGGCTATCCACCTGGACCGCCAGGAGAACTTCCAGTTCAACAAGGAGACCCAGCTGTTCCCCATTGCCGGTCTCGTCGCTGCAGAACTGAACCGGCAAGGCAAGAGCGATGAAACCAAGGAGGAAGGCAACGACACGGAGACCGAAGGCCCTCTCGCTGCGCCGACTGCGAGACACCACCCGTACATAATCGATATCATTGCTGAGGAGGCTGGAGCTGAACCGGGCGACATCGTAGACTTCGAGATGGTCCTCTACGATACGCAGAAGTCAGTCATTGGCGGTTTGAACAACGAGCTGATCTTCTCTCCACGACTGGACAATCTTATGATGACGTATTGCAGCGTCGAGGGTCTTCTCAAGAGTCTGTCCGACTCGGCAGCACTGGAGAAGGATTCGACTATCCGATTGATAGCATGCTTCGATCACGAGGAGATTGGCTCCCAAACAGCACAGGGAGCAGACTCCAATTTGCTACCTGCTGTCATTCGCCGTCTCTCGGTATTGCCAGCGTCTGAGAGCAACTCCGATGCATCGTATGACAAGGTCGAGGCAGACACTGCTACCGCCTACGAGCAAACGCTCGCCACTTCTTTCTTGATCTCCGCCGATATGGCACACTCCGTACACCCCAACTATCCAGCCAAGTACGAGGCTCAGCACAGGCCTGAGATGAACAAGGGCACTGTTATCAAGATTAACGCCAACGCGCGTTACGCCACCAACTCACCAGGTATCGTTCTGCTCCAAGAAGCAGCCCGCCGTGCCAAAGCGGCTTCTTACAACCCGAAGTTAGGAAAGGAGGGTGTTCCGCTCCAGCTCTTCGTTGTTCGTAACGACTCGTCGTGTGGAAGCACCATCGGACCTATGCTGTCGGCGGCCATGGGCGCGCGTACCCTTGATCTGGGTAATCCTCAACTCAGCATGCACAGCATCCGTGAGACTGGTGGTGCGCATGATGTTGAGCACGCCGTAAACCTCTTCGACAGCTTCTTTGAGAACTTCGAGGAGCTTGAGAAGAAGATTATCGTGGACTGACTCGATCGATCGAAGCTATAATGAAGATAGTGTCACAGCAAAACATAGCATGAATGAACGAATTGAAATGTGAAATACTGAACAAGTCAATGGGAGGTTGCGTGATGAGTACCTTGTGGACTTCGGAACCCCTCGGTATCGTTCCGCTGTATTTCAGGGTTCACGCCAAGCACCCCACCAGTGTCATCTTTCGTCCGTGTTTACTGACGCGAGAACCGTAACGAGACAATCATTATGGCGAAGCCTCAATTCCTTTCTGGTGACAAGAAAGCTATAGACGAGTTCCTGGACAGGTTCGATGTATGCGCCTAGAATCTCCGGTTGCCAAACGCTTCACTGACGAGATGCTCAGGTCTTCCTCTTCGACTGCGATGGTATGCGCCAGCCTTGTTCCTACATTCATGTCTCTTGCTTGCGATCGCTATAGTACCTGTGGCCATCTACTGATCGTGACGAAGGATAGGCGTCCTCTGGTCCGGTGATCACCTATACGAGAAGGTCCCAGAAACCCTCGAGATGCTGAGGAGTAAAGGTAAGACACTCACCTGCCACGCAGCAATGTTGAAATCCGGCTGACTGACTCCAGGCAAACAACTCGTCTTTGTCACGAACAACAGCACCAAGTCGCGCGCAGACTACAAGAAGAAGTTTGAAAAACTTGGTATCCCCGCCCAGGTGGTAAGTAAGCAGGAGCCCAGAGTATGACCATTGGCTGACACGATCTCAGGAAGAAGTCTTCGGATCGTCCTACAGCGCCGCCGTATATATCGCTCGTATCCTCAAGCTCCCCGCGCCGAAGAACAAGGTATTCGTGCTAGGAGAGTCGGGCGTAGAACAGGAGCTCGAAGCTGAAGGTGTCCCATACATTGGTGGTACAGACCCTGCCTACCGGCGTGAGTTCCGGCAGCCAGAGGACTTCGAAGCTATTGCAAATGGCAGCCTGCTCGATCCAGATGTCGGCGTGGTGCTGAGTGGTCTGGACTTCCACTCCAACTACCTGAAGACGGCAATCGCGTTCCAATACCTACAACGTGGCGCGGTATATCTCGCCACCAACATTGACAGCACACTGCCAAATGCACACTCTCTGTTCCCTGGTGCTGGTGCATCAGGTGCTGCGCTTGAGCGAGCGATCGGTAGGGCACCATTGTCTTTGGGTAAGCCGAGTCAGGCCATGATGGACGCGATAGAAGGCAAGTTCAAGTTCGACCGAAGCAGAACTTGCATGGTGGGCGACAGATTGAACACGGATATCCAATTCGGCATCGACGGAAAGCTGGGCGGAACTCTGGCTGTGCTTACCGGCGTTAGCAAGAAGGAGGACTTCCTGGCTGAGGGTGCGACAACTGTTCCGATGGCTTATGTGAACGCGCTGGGTGATCTCATGGGCTGAGCAATGATGTGATGAGAGCAGGGCTGCACCTAGAAGCAGGGATGCAAGGGCATAGATAGGGTTCGGTATAGAATACAGGGAAACGGTGCTAAGACTCGCATGCCATTCTGAACCGCTGGGTCTGGGAACATGGCAAGCAATGATGACCCAATCAGACACGCCAACAGCGCGTGCGCTACATGTGGCTAGCGTACTTTACGCGTGCACGCGAACGCGCCTGCCACTTTAACACCCCCATCAACCGTGGAGACGTGCAAGCCGCCGAACAACGCAAGAAACCTCAACATCATGATCCGCCACGACTACTCTCGAGTTGACCCCAAGCGACGCGCGCAAATCGATCCTAAGAGGCAACAATTCAAGAAGGCAGAGTTCCAGCAGCAGAACTATGAACACCGACTGAACTTCTACACGCTGCCACCCACCGCAGAGATTACACTGGAAGAGTTCGAGACATGGGCAATCAACAGACTGAAGGGTATGGAGTCCTCATGATGACTACCTTCTTGTGCTAACAGCGTGCGATGCAGTCCTCTCCGAACTGGAAGCCTGCAGTTTCCGCAACAAAGGCCCCGAAGAGACCGCCGAATACATGAAGAGCATACTGGAGAAATACCTACCGCTGCGATCGGACTCGTCACGAAGTCAGAAACTACAAGAAGAGCGGCGGAGAGACCACTATTCACACTTCATACTGCGCCTTGCGTTTTCGTCAACAGAGGACCTGCGACGGCGGTTTTCGCGGCTTGAGACTATGCTGTTTACGCTGCGGTTCAAGGATGATGATCTGCGGGAGCGGCAACAATTCGTCAACAGCCTCAATCTGGATTGGACAGAGGTCAAGGAAGATGAGAAGCGGGAGTTGAGGGACGAGTTACATGCGGCGAGTGGGATAAAGAAGACTGAGGACCAGGAGTGGTTCAAGGTTGATTGGGAGAGGGTACCTGAACTTGTTGCGCAAAGAAAGGTGCTGTTGAAGAGAGGAATGGCGTATGTTCCGCAACGAGAGCAGATGAGTCTGGTGGTTGCTGAGTTTACGAAGAAGCTCGATGAGGCACTAGAGGTATGATTTTCGATATGCGCATGTCTGAAGGCATCACTAACAACCTCACAGCTGACAGCACGCGCGCTCCCCCGCCTCGACGAAGACGACCGCCTCGCCCCCATCCTCGCCCACCTCTCCCAATCCTTCACAACCCCCGACGCCGCCTACTCCACCTCCGACGCCAACATCGACGGTCTCTCCACTATCACCGCAAACAGCATCGACACACTGTCCCAACACTTCCCCCTCTGCATGCGCAACCTGCACAACAGACTGCGCGACGACTCGCATCTCAAGCACTACGGGCGTCTGCAATACACCCTCTTCCTCAAAGGCATCGGCCTCAGCCTCGACGAATGCCTCGTCTTCTGGCGCCGCAGCTTCAAGCTCATCACCGACGAGAAATTCCAAAAAGAATACAAATACAACATCCGCCACGCCTACGGCGACGTAGGCGGCGACGCAAACCGTCGCGGCCGCGGCTACACACCGTATTCCTGCCAGAAGCTCCTCACCGAGGCCCTGCCTGGTGCTGGTCAATCGCACGGCTGCCCCTACCGCACGTTCGCGCCCGAAAACCTGCTCACGATGTTGCAGCGCGTTGGTGTCAATGATAGAGATGTGCTCAAGACGGTTAAAGAGGATGTGGGGAAACAGAGGTATCATGTTGCGTGCAATCGCGTGTTTGAGTGGAGTCACAAGAAGGAGATTAAGAAGGTTAAGGAGGAGGGGAGTTGGAGTAGTAATGATTTGGATACGATTGTGCATCCGAATACGTATTTTAAGAGGAGTTGGCTTCTGAAGCATTTGGGGGAGGGGAATGCGGGGGTTGTTGGGGGGGAGAAGATGGAGGAGTGATGGGTTGATTGGATGTTTGTTAGGTTTACGGTTGGTGACTATATGGTCATGATGGGATCGCATGGTTGTGGTTATGCTCTGCAGCGTTTGTACTTCAATACCAGTTGATGTTCATTTTTGGCAGCTTCCCGTTTGAATCGATTAAGTTGAGCGTCCTAAGAGGATCATGTGAGCAAGTATGGTGTTTCGTCATAACCTTGGAAGGTGATCACAGATTCGAGCTAGGTGGCCCCAAAGCTATCACAATCATTCCGCTGACCAAACTACAAGTCAGTATGCCGAGCGCTGAACATTTCAACGACGCCAGGCAGCAGTCGAAGCTAGACGCATAGCAGCTTCCTAGTCCGTCATGACATCTGTGCGTTTTCGGCTACCCGGCTCCTTCCTTCGACACTCGCAAGGTTCTGCCTTTACAACCACCACTCCTTGTGTTCACTCTCGATTCGCGGCGACCCGACTGCAGCTACCTTCATGGTGCTCTGGATACAACATCTTATTTTTTCTTCAGCAATCACTTCCAGCATGAGTTGGAACGTAGCAAAGTCCATCGAGTTGCACAATCGAATTGTCGCCCATGCCCGCTCGCACCTTCCACCCGAACACCAACCCACCATCCAGCGCAATTGGTTCGCCGTACACTCACTAGATCCAGCTTCTCCAGGCTTCGAATTCGATCTTGACGATGAACTGACAGAATTTCTATCTGGCATCGATCTAGTCGTACCCAACAAAGCCAGTAACCATCTGGCTTTCAACCCAGTCCTCATTGGCATCGTGAACCCTCACGGTCGTTACGGTTTGCGAACCCAGTCATGGGAGGATTGGGATGATGACCACGCTGATCTCATCGTGTTGTACCAGAACACGGGGTATGATCCAGCTGGGTTAGTTTACAATCTAGAAACGCAGCAGGTTACCTACTTGGAAGATGCATTTACCTCACCCTATGAACCAAATGAGATGAAGCTTTCGTGGGCTGATCTTGATGAAGTTCTACAACTCTATTGGGACTGCGTCGAATCTGGCAAGTTTGTTATAGATGCCGAGAACCCTGGGTTTGGCGAACCTGATAATCTTGCGACGCAGGGGTGGAGAGTTGAGCTGTGTACGGAGAAAGAGATGGATCAGGTGCTGGATGTGTGGGGCAGCTTGGTTGATGTCATTGCGAAGAGACTACCTGCATCTGACACGCGAGAGGAAAAGAAGGAGAATGAAGACCAGACAGAAGACGAAGGACCCCAGCGCAAGAAGAGGAGGAAACACGAAGAACCTTTGATTTCTACCGAGGTCTTGGATAAGTACCCGGCGATTCCGCCGTTTGTGCGCACCTTCCTTTCAAGAGCTAAGAAACCTCCATTCAGATCTATCGCACCGCAGCTCAACGTGCCTGATGAGGACTTCATCCATCGCGTAGGAGCGGAGATGCAAAACAGAAATCCCGGTGCTACTCTGGAAGAGCCGCAACACGGGACATCCGAGAGTTATCTGTTTCTACTTTTCCCTTGGCGCACATCAGGCATCGAGCTCATTTCCGAACGCGACCAGGAGAATTGGAAGCCTCAACGTGGATCTAGCATTTTGGACAATCGCGGAGGACTATACATTCAGCCCGACGACTTCTACTCGTATTGTGGCACATTGCTGCTCCCATTTCCTCTCGGGAGTAACGGTCATGTCCTGCGAGGTGATGATACCAAAGTAAAAGCATATGAGGCGGGTCAGGATATGTTGTATCATCGCGGCATAGGTAATCCCTTTGTCCCTGGCTGGGGAACGCCGTTGACCGCTATCCTGGTCAACTGGTGGGAGCAAGTCGAGAATGATCCTTGGGGTGTTGATGAGAATGGAGTTGCTGGGGGAGATGAGCTCTGGAAGAAAGCGGATACCGAAGAAGACGCGGAGGACTTCAAGGTTGAGTGGTGATGCTTTCGAAAAGCACGACCTAAATTGCTGTCGCGCGTCGTATGCGCGACGATGAGAATTCTCGCTTGCATGGAAGTTTGCGGATACCAACATGATTGCTGGGGCCCATACGGGACAGCGCAGTACCACGCGATGCGAGTTTGTCCACAGCAAACTCATAACTTTTCGACTCATTAGAGGGCAAGATGCCTAGCACCAGATGCCCAAGACACTACGAGTAGCCAAAGATGAGCGACAATGCTTCATTCACCTTCATTGGGGACAATACCCACGGGTCTACCCTGAACCAAGGGTCTATCATCACTGGGGATGGCTCACACGTCGGTAACATTAACCATTTTCACACGGTTACACAGGAGGATTCCGCGCGCAAATCATGTCTGAGAGACCTCCTGGCAGCTCTGAGGGACGATCCAGACGACTATCGGCAGATTCTCGAAGACCGCAAAGGGCCGAAAACACCGGGCACCTGTGAGTGGGTTTCGGAAACCGACGCATACAAGAGCTGGATCGCCAAGTCTTCCGGCCTACTATGGATCTCCGGAGATGCCGGCAAGGGGAAGACTATGCTTTCTCTCCATCTCGTAAGCAGCCTGAAAAGCGACTCTTTAGGTGCACATGTCGTCCACTTCTTCTGCAGTCGAGACCAAGGAAGGAACAATGGTGCTTCTATTCTCCGCGGCCTTATCTATCAAATGCTCTCTCAACGTCCATCGTTGTTCGAGCATGTTACAAATGATTACGACAAGCACGGAGCTAGTCTATTCGACGACAGAAAGTTCCAAGCCCTCTGGACTATCTTCGATAGGGTATTGCACGACCAAGATATCAACCCCATTACATGCATTCTCGATGGCTTAGACGAATGCGACGAAGAGGGTCTCGAAGACTTCTAGGTGAAGATCGACAGCCTCTACAAATGCGATCCTCAACAGAAATCCGACCGCTCGTCTCACTCCTTGAAGCTTCTCGTCGTGAGCCGCAACCATCCTTACTCCATTCAGCAAGCAATGGATAAGTTCCCCAGACTGCGTCTTGAACCCGACAATGAGCCACATGTCGGATCTGATATCTCCAAATTTGTCGACGATCGTATATCCAGTTTGCAATGCCCAACTGAAGCACGAGAGTACATCAAGAAAAGGCTATGCGATCGATCGGAAGGAACCTACCTATGGGTCAGCTTCGCCATCAACGCTTTGAAGAAGGTGCGGGTTATCGACATGGAACGTACTGTTGAATCCTTCCCTCGTGGGCTCGATGCCATGTACCGTCGTATGTTGCTGGCAATCTCCGAGCATGAAAGAGAGAAGGTTATGGAAATCTTGCGGTGGATCACGACCACAGTATGGCCACTGAGCCTCGTCCAGCTGGCTACCGCCGTCAGCACAGTCCCTGCGAGGGGCCAAACCCTGGAGGAGGCTATCACTGATGAGATCGCCTATGCTGGAGATCTATTGACGATAGCGACGCGTGTCAATCACGAAGTTGTCAGTACCAGCGTTACACTGGTACATTTGTCTCTATTGGACTTCCTTCAAAGCATTCCAAAATTTGATCCCGATCTGGGATTCTTTTGTCTCCAGGCAGCCGTCACTCATGACCGGTTGACTCGTCGCCTTTTCGACTACAAGTACCAGATTCTGCAAAGCTTTGACTCCCTCCAGAACGACGATGTTGTTTCTAAGCATCTTGGTGACTATGAAATAACGAAAGTTCAATACCCGCTATTGCATTATGCCATAAAGAACAGTCTGGAACACATGTGCCATGGTGGAAACATTCGTCGCCTCAACAGTTACCATCCGATACTTGACCCAACCGATCGATGTCATACTCCATGGTTGCAACTACAGTATCGTACAATGTGCGAGCATCTACCAGAGGAAGGCGTCAAGTTGGCACATATTGCTGCCTTATACGGCCTGCTTGCATTCCTCAAGTACGCTCACCACCAATGTCACCTTGAGCTGGATACCAGAGATGGTAATAACCGAACACTTCTCTTCTACGCTACAGCTCAATGCCATATGCACGTTATTGAATGGTTGTTAGTTCAAGGTGCCGATCCGAACCTTCGAGATCTGACCGGACAAACAGCCTTGCACATCGCTGCTTACCAAAGTCGAGCTGACATTATCAAGATGCTCATTCGTCATGGATCAAGAACCAGAGTCCAGTCTTCTACTCGTATTACGAAAAGTATGCTAGACGGATTGGATCGTGATTTCGGTGACTTCAATCAAGATGAAGAGGATAACGATCAAGCCTTGGCGAAATGGAGTGGAACCCCTGTCCATATCGCTGCTACCATTGAGCAGCCCGAAGTCATGCACATCCTACTCAGTACTTTTCTACGAGAAGGTGGTTCCATCAACGAGACTGACGAGAATGGTCGTACCTTTCTCCATCTACTAGCAACATCTCATGGGTCCGATCCGCGGCGTTGCTGGGATGTCTTTAGCAAGTTTCCAGAGTCTTCCGAGATCGTCAATCACATGATGGACAGGAACGGAGAATCTGCCCTACATATTGCCACACGGAAATCCTGTCTAGCAATCGATAGCTCGTTTCAGGACGACTTCTATGAGGATTCGGACTCTGACTCCGAAGAGACGGTGTGGAACCCTGTTATCGCACTTGTAGAAACTTTTGGAACAGCTGTCAACATCCAGACTTCCACTGGCGTCACACCGTTGCACATCGCCTGCAAAAAGGGGGCTTCCAGTCTAGTCGCTTATCTCCTTGACAAAGGTGCTAATGCGCGCTTGTATGACGAGTCTGGTCAGAACGCAATGCACTGGCTTTGTAGCCAAATGCAACGAGGCCGCCAGAACAGACCTGCAATTCTTGTCACACTGACACAAATCATGACTGTGGAAGATATCGAGGCTAAAAGAACCGACGGTCAAACAGCTCGAGAAATTGCTGTCAAGCACGATGCCGATTATCTGGAGATAGCAAGGCGCCACGCGAATGGCCTGGTGCCAAACCTTGATATGCCCGCAGAGCTTTTGCTATCGATCGTCCGAGAGTTTTGTGTCAACTTTTGGCAGTTGGAACGATGCAATGTGTTTCTTGAACTTCACGGTCTCATTGATGGTTTGCTTAACATGGTCAAATGCGAGCCATCGAGTGAAGCAATTGCTGGATTGCAGCGACTGGTGTCTGAGCAGCCTCGCCTTCAACATGTGCTGGAGAAAAACCGCCTGTATTGGGAGTCTAAGGCGAAGGAATGATAGCGATCGGACTAAGCGACTCACCATGACGAATATTCAACGACGGGTATTAGTGGCGAACGAGTCATATCATCAGTTTCAAATGCACGTCAGTGACTGGTTTCCGTAATGGTTTTTTATAATGCTGGAAGAGGAAAATATCCTACGCTGAGCGCTCTCTCCCATCAGCGTCTACTTCTTGAAGATCTCAATAGGAAAGGCATCAGCAATCGCCTGATACCCGGCAACACTCGGATGCAACCCATCACCACTATCGTACTTCTTATCCAACCTCTCCGCATTCGTCTTATCCGCAACCATACTCGCAATGTCAACCGTGAAATCATAGTTCCCACTCTCCAAAATCCACTTATTCACCCTCTTCCTCGTCTTCTCCCTCTCAACACCCTCATACCCATTACCCGCAAAAGGCGCAATCGTACCACCAATAGTCGTGTAACCAGCCTTCTTAGCATCAGCAGCAATTTGCTTGAACGCAGCGATGAGGCGGTCGCCGACAGAGGTTTGCGCAGCAGCGGTGTTGGCGTTACCACCGATGTCGTTGACGCCTTCGAAGACCATGACCCATTTCACGCCGGGCTGCTCGATGGCATCGCGCTTGTACCGGGTCAGAAGGGGTGGGCCGAGACCGCCGCTGAGAACTGTGTTGCCGCCGGCGGCTTGATTGCAGACGGCGATGTTGGTGTGGTTTGTAGATTGGAGACGGGCGAGTACGAGGTCGGGCCAGCTGCGGTGGTATTAGACGGGAAGTAGTTTGCGGGGTTGAGTAGTGCTTACCGGTTGTTCTTGTTGTCGTCTGAACCTCGCCCGTCGGTGATGCTGTCACCGAGGACCATCAGAGAGCGCGTGGTGGTTGGTACGTAGGCTTGTACTGCGCTGACGAAGTACCAGTGCACACTTTGAGTACCAGAGAAATTCGTGGCATTGACCTTGTTGCCACTGACGAACCAGCTCGTCGTCCTACTGCCGGGATGACCAGTGATGCTGCTTCCACTCTGCCCTTGCTGGCTGTACAAGCTCACAGTGAGCATGCTTTGGGGCTTGACTTCGAAAGCAATCTCATCGCTGGTAACGACCTGACCCTTGGGTACCGTGAAGCTGGACTTGCCACCGACGGTAATGGCTGCCAGAGGTGAGGCTTGCATGCCAGTGATACCCGCAGCGCCACCTGCAGGAAGTCCGACAGAACCTGCGGTGATAGGAAGGTCGGAACCGCCAAAAGTGTTGGAAATGGTGATCTTGATCTTGGGTGCGCCAACGGACATGTGGAGGGTTTGGCGGAGCGTCGCATCGCGCATCACACTCCCGGAACTCTGTGGTCATGTTAGAATTCCTGGAGTTCAACCTTGGGCAGTGCAGATCGCATACGAAAGGCGCTGGCGGCATGTTGCTCGCTTCCACCAACTGTGGCATGCTCGTCCAGGTATTGATCCAATGCGATCCATCCTGTCTCCTCTCAACAGCGTCAATCGCACGTCCGTTCACGGCCGGCGAGATCAAAGAAAGTGTCGCAAACGCGACCGAAAGAAGTGATGTGTAAAACATCATGGCAAGAAACAAAGTTTCGATCGACTGGGATGATGTTGTCGCAATGCGGCTGACAACCGGTATTTGAACAGTTCATCTGGCATTTCGAATTAAGCATTCCGGTCATATTGCGTACTGCAAATTAATTCCCAATCTCAGTAGAGGCGGCTGCTTTGTCAATGCGACGAGCGCAAATGATGTGGGGAGTCAGTCGTTCAGCGGGCGGACGTTTGGAAGTAATTAATCCGGCAGGGTATACGGTGGCCGTGCTATAGCCAGTGCCTTTTGTCCTTGGGAGAATAGCCGGAGGCTTGGATCAACGAGAGATTGGTCCATGTAGTGCTTTCATGAATGACTGCCGAAGGTAATGTAAGGTTGATGCTTGTGAGTCCATCGTCACTCTGCTGAGAGTCGGGTGGTCGTAAGCTGAGTGCACAGCATTGCAGCTCTATTGTGCGGACGAGTGATATGGCAAGGGGCGTCCTATACTCATGTGGATGAAGTTACGGGTACGCTCGCATCCAGCGTTGTCGATGGTGGCTCCATGACGAATTTGCTGTCCATCGTGGAGGCACGGAAGTTGTGGGAGTAGCGACGCGCTCAGGTTCGTGTGAAGGAGAAGTCCGAGAGGACAAGTGGTTAGCACGTCATGACTCTGCCCTTCAACATGAGGCCTATCCAGAATTCCTACACAGCACTACCGAGTGAAAGTGAACTTGGGCGTGGCATCTAGAATCGCATTGGTCTTGGGCGGAGCGCAGCTCGATGTTTGTGGACAATCGTTGCACCTGACGCGGTAGAGCTCCTCCGTGCACGGGCCGCCGCGCTTTCAACCAGCTCCTCGCCTCGCGTCGCGTTTCATCTATCACGCCATCAGACGATGCCGAGGCGCGACCAACCCTCTATACTACAGATCATCATATCCGCACGTCCTGTCGAGTCGGTATTGATCAAATGGCGCGTCGCGAACGTGTCATGCGTGCCGCAGGGCAAACCAGCCGGGATGAGGATCGCGCAGCTGTTGACTGGACCACGACGCGTACGTACTTTCGAATCCATGGCTTTGTGATACTTCGATGAATGCGAACTAATTACATTTGTAGTATTTTGTATGATTATCTACGGCATCTGAGTGTTCATCGCGACGTCGACAACATCCGACGCGATCATGTCATGCTCATAATCACCAGAGCGACTCGTATCCCAGGACATTTTCTCTTTGTTGTATCGCTCAACGGCCTTTAAGAATTTACGATGTAGCTCTCCCAATCGCGGGAAGTGTGCATCGCTATCATGGGCCTGTTTCTTCTTCACACAGCTGATGTTCATCAAGCGCACCAACTCTGCCCATGCGAGGAGTTTGAGGAAAGCGTCCTCATTTGAGAAAAAGCGGCTTCGCATAGCGGGGTTCCACCCTTGGAAGAGCTGGACGGCTGGACGTACTACGCCTCCAAACCAGTCGGGTTCTGCACGATTACCTTCCCATAGACGAAAGAGTTCTTCGGCATGGACATCGACGTAGTCCTTGAGTAGACGAAGCTGCGTGACAGCAACACCCTCCTCCGTACTACATATTATGCCCTTACTCCGCTGTGGGAATTCGAGGGTGACCTCCGCTCGTAATGGATTGACTTGCAACTCAAAGATCTGTTCGATGTCATTGCCGATGCGCTCGGCTAGACTTCGGTTGCACAAGTACACCTGGCATATTGGGCACCTCCCAACCTTCTCATCAAGCGTACGCAAGTTGTCCATGAGACATCGATCATGCATGGAGCAACCGCAGGGAGGTGCTATGACAGGATTCTTGTCTGCGTCATGGTAAGACTTGAAGCACAACTGGCAATTCCCAGTAGGTGTAGGGTCTTCCCAAGAATTCGGCACAGCACAACGCTCAAGGAAATCCACCTGATCAGGAAGTGAAGACGGGATGGTGTCGGAAGCCTTGTGGAAACGTGAGCTTAATCGTTCGGTGTCGTGTGCAGGAGTGGACGTACTAGGGGGTGCCTCTGTGCACCGAACGCTGAAGCGTTTGGCCTTGGCCTCCAACTCCGACCTCGTATCCCAAGTTCGACCTTCAAGCTTCTTTAGCGTTGCAGTATGCCGTTGGTGTGCTGACTTACCTGGAAGTTCGACTGGCGTTCTACGAGCGGGAAGTTCAATTGGCGATCTACGTGCGGGAAGTTCTGCCGCTGGTCTATGAGTTGCTGACGCATCGAAACCGAAAGAATTCTCCCTATCGCCGTTCACGTAGAAAGTCGACGGTAGTAGCTCTTCGCTGTCCTTCTCAATCACCCAGCGAGGTGGGTTGCCCTGGTACCATTCGTCATAGGCAAACGGTGGCGACCTTTCGCTTTTGATGGTTCCAACACTGGACTGCCCGCTCACTACAGATAGGTTAGTGAATGTGGGAAGGTACGTCTTGTTCGTGTACAGACCAGTCACACCCTGCATATCTCTAGCCCTTGCTACACTTTCATCTGTCTGGATTCCGGGAAACATACCCATCGTGGCCTGGGCATCTGCATAGATCGAGGACGTATCGTGAACGGAATCGACCCGATGATGGCGCGTCTGCGGCACTGCTGGTGAGGCTGCGCGCGTAGATGGGGGAGCCGAGCCCATGGGCGTGCTATCACGCGAAGAGTTACCGTGTTGAGATATTAAGACCGATGGACGACCCTTCTGCCATACTTGAGGGGGCATCTCTGGCTCACGTGCTGGAATCGAAGCACTGCGATGACGGCCTGGGATGATCGAAGATATACGCTCGGCGGTGTCACGTATCCTCGTCTCTAGCGAGGCTCGTGGCCTAGACTTCTCCCCAGCATGTCCGGACGAGCTTGGCCGCGAATTACGCACGGAACTAGATGTCATGGAACCAGATGTCATGGAACCGAATGTCATGGAACCGGATTCCTCGGAACCGGATAGGAAGTCTACACTGGGTGTGTACGCCGGGGGCTCATCGCCATTCACGCCCTTCCATTGGTCCTTCGTAACAGTGTTCTTATCCTTGTGCATACAAAAGAACTCCGCACATTGCTCGACGATCTCAGGATGGCGCGGCGTCTGATAGCTATGCTTCCTTGGTTGTGAGCAGCGACATACGAAGTCTTTGTTTCGGCTGGTATAGTGAAAGTCTTCAACAAATACGCCTTCCATCGCCCATTTCGCTTCTCGGCTTGCGCGATACTTCCGGAAATCAGCGAAGTTACAGGATTCAAGGCCATGGCGGTCGAGATATAGCATTATGCTGGCGCTCAGATGCCTCGATTCGCATGCTACGGTGGACGTCCTCTCGCCATGTCGTCCCGCATCGTGACAGCGGCAGACGCGGTTACGCTCATCGCCAACGTAATGCAAGATGCGTTCCTCGGATGATAAAGAGGATAGGGAGTGGCGGTGGAGATCATCTGCGCGGCGGACTTCGACCGATCTTGTGCGCTTGCGGCGGACGTAGACATAGTTGCCCTTGTTGTGCGCGTAAGACTGCATCCTGTTATATGGGTAACAAGATTTTGTGGATGTGCAGGTAGACGGGGGTGTCTACTGGTAAATGTGACCCAGCAGCCTGTATAAAAGTACTGAACTGACTATCTAGGTTCCAAGATCTGTGCATTCTTCTCAGAGTGAAGAGAACTACAACTAGGTTCTCCTTTCGTGACGTCGTGCACGCACCAAGTACAACGGCATCGTTAGTACTTGAGAACGTCATGGAGTTGGTGTTGAGCATGGACCTGCACAATGCGATTCATTGCACGGGCCTTTCAAGAGCGCTGTGAGAAAGACACCGATACGATGAAGTCATACTTCAGCTACTACTTCACGATGCGAGTACATTGTTTTCAGGCCAGCAATGACAGGCGACGTTGCATGCGCGTGGTGGCTTTCATTCTGTCATCTATCCGACACTGTCTTCGGCCACCAAGGCTGTCGCTGTGGCCTTGCTAGACCTTGTGGTATCGGCTCTTGACGTCGACACTCTGAAGAGTGTTACCTAGGATCCGGAAGTACCCCCTACTACTCTGAGCCATCATCCTCAAACAAATCATCTAAGCTCGTGTCATCCTGCTCGACGTTTTCTTCCGTATCCTCGAACAGTCCGTCTAAGCTCGAATCGTCCACCGGCTCCTGAACCAGCGCCGGCACCATCTCCTCAGCCTTCTTCTTCACAAACGCGGGGTTCCTGTCTGGGATACCAGACGGTTCATCACCCTTCGAGATGATTACCTGCTCTGGCGAGAGCTGCAAACCCTGAGCCTTAAGGTGTTGGACCTCCCAATATTCATTGAAGCGTGACCAATTAGGCCACTTCTTCATACGCTCAATACGCTTACAGTACTTGAGTTCGCGCTCGTAGTCTTTGAGCTTCTTTGCAATTTCCTCTTGAAATGCGGTATCAGCGGCGGCAGCCTGTTCTTCTGAAGACAGTTCGGAATCAAGTTCAGAGGCTGATGAGAGGTACTCCTCGAGCGGGTTTGGTGCGACAATAGCTATGGGCGCCTCTTGCGCATCGATCGCATCGTGTGGCTCTTCTCGCCATTTCTTTCTCTGTTCCTTTCTCGCTTCTTTTTTCGCGCTGGCATCCGCGTTCTTTTCATCTCGAAGTCGCTCTTTCTCCGCATGCTTCGTCTTCTGGTCTTCCTTCTTATTGGGTGACTGTTCCTTCTTCCATGTTATATGGCTCTCATGCAAGTCGCCCTTCTTGACCAAGGCTTCCACCTGTCGTTTCCACGTCGATTTATTCCTCGAGATTGAAGCCATCTTCCTATCCTTTGTGACTCCTTCTGTGCAGCAGGCCCCGGTTAACCATTGGTGGTTGCATTTGTACATTCCGGTGACTTCGTGCGGCGTGAAGTCCTCGAGCTCGCCAGGGTATGGAGGAACTGAGACCTTGTCCAGGGGATGTGTTATCTGGTCTGGTCTGATGGGCTCTACCGGTACTGACGAAGTAACGGTAGGCGCAGAAGATATAGAAGTCTGAGGCTTCGGTACCGGCTTTTGCCACGTATCTGGCTTCTGCTGTTCCAGCACTTGGCCAGATGTGGATGGCTGAGACTTGACCGCCAGATCCTCAGCAGGCGTCCCACATGCAATGGCGCGATCGCGATAGTTCCTGTAGGCCACCCGCATTTCCCAATTGACTGGTGTCTCGACAGTCTGAATTGCCACGAGTTGGCTCCAACTTGCCCTGGTCTCGGCCGTGTTCTCCTTGAATTTGTTCGCCAACTCCACCTCTCCCTCCATCAAGCTCGTTTGGACGTTCACGATTCGATTCCAAAGCTTGAGGTGTTCTTCGCTAGCTTGGTCACACTGGCTCATCCGACATCCTAGCTCTACCATGTGGTGGTAGGCGATATAACGTTGGAGTGGTGGCAGAGCTCGCAGGCGCCACACGTCGCGCGGCACCAGCAATTCATGTCGAGTATGGGGAATAGCCCCCAGAGTGCCTTGCTTGGCGAGAATAGCTGGTACTGTCGTGACGGTCTTTCCTTGAAGGTCTGGATGCGCATTGATGAGCCATTGCTCTTGCTGAGTGCGCGGCGTCGTTCGCGCAGTCTGCACATTCACAACGGGGACTTGGGTACCGCGATGAAGCCCTTCGACTCCCGTCTGGTGAGAGGTACCCTTTGTGGCTGCGACTGGAGTTGCGCTGTATTGGTGTGCTCCTTGTGTACCCACTAATGGCTGGATACGCTGTTGCTGTTGCTGACTGAGCTGAGAGTTCGCGGGCATTATAGGCACCATGGGGTGATTTGGCTGGTGACCTTGGACAGGCTGAGGTATAGGTATTCCTGATGTAAACCTATGCTGATCACCTTGTACAGGCTGTTGGCCCGCTGTAGGCCCCATGGGGTGATTTGGCGCGTGACTATGCGCAGCCTGGGATGCATGTAGCCTCCACGCATAGTCAGGCTGTACCACTCGAGCAGGGTGTCGGTTCACGTGAGATCCATAGCTTTGGTATAGATTCCCGAACCCCATCTGTGGAGTTATCAGAGGCCGTGACGGGGGGCTGACACCATAATGCTGGTTGTTGCTGTGTATATACCCTAACGTGGGAGTATATAAGCCGCCCTGGGAAGGCGTATATTCTGAGTTGACTCCCCATGGGTTTAGTGGGACCGATGGGTGAGTATGCGGCGGGCTTAAGTACGGAGGATAGACAAGAGGTGACGACGGGGGTCGTGGAATGTAAAGCGAGGGTGTTTGGGTGTAGCAATCGTGGACGTCGTCAGAATCTTCCGGCGGCGTCCAAAGCCCATGTTGACGTTGTCGTTTGATCGGCCCAACTAATTCCTCCTCGTGCGCGCGCTTCGGTGGGCGCGGTAGCGTCGCAGGCGTGGATGGTAGCTGAGACATAAGAGTATAACTACCAGTCGTGAGTATGGCGAGACGTTGTTGCTTGAAGACCTTTGGAAGCTCGCGAATCCGCGATCGAATTGTTGAGCGTGGCAGTGGATGGGTGGAGGTGGGTTCCAGAGGCTGCGGTATTGCTGGAAGACCAGACCCAACGTGAGGACCAGCTAGCACGTGTAACATTCCGTCACTATTGTTCTGATCATGGGGCGATGCCGGAGAAACGCACTGACGGTCACTGGCAAGCGGCAAGTGCTGTGTTGCTTTCACTTTCACTTCGCTTGTGCTACTCTTGCGTGGGTACGTGGTAGTCTATACAGGAGCCTGTATCAATTGGAATGCATGCTAGATAGATGATCAATTAGGGGGGGTTTTGGTACTGATGTCTACATGAATAGGGTTCATGATCAGAGAGATTGTGTCGCTTGCCGCCTACATAGGCGCTTAGATTAAAGAAACCAAACTGCATATTGGGACTTGAGGTATACATCATGTTTGACGGTGACTATCCGTTAATACAGAACTTTGCGTATGCAGCAAAACGATACAGAGCTGCCTGCATACAACTGTGTGTATGCAGCGACGCGGTACTAAGATGCCTACATAGATGTTTACTCCCATAGACTTACACTACATGTATAGCGTTAAGGTATACATTACCTTCTATACTTTCTATCTATTAACATAAAGTTCTATGTATGTATGCAGCAGCGTAATACATAGTTGCCTACACATACCGTCAAAATGAGGAATATATACTATATACATAAATTTGAGGTATACATTATCTTCTCTACTACTCATGTGTGGACATAGAACTCTGCGTATGCAGCAACGCAATACAGATTTCCCTTAGTCGCGCGTTGAAAGGTAGTATAAGTAGTCTAACGAAGTTTTCCTCCACTCGTAATCGTCCTCATCAGTAAAGTTGTCACTGTCGTAGAGAGCCTCCAGAGCGTGTTTTCCGTCGATCTCGAGATGCACTTTCAGTCCGTCGGCGCCATGTTGGTTGAGAATGGTACTACGTTGTGTGTCACAGAACATGTAGTTGCATAGGGTCTGATTAACCTCAACTTATGGTACCAGCTTCATTGTATTAATAGTAGAGACTCTGAAAACTAACTACACCCTCAGCAAAGATACCTATCTACCTCTTCTCCATCCCCATAAGGGTTCTCATGCGGGCAAAGCAGCGGGACAAGTCCATCTGCAGAATCCTAGTTCAGTGCAGAGCCTTGACTCGTGTCGACAAACATATACGATCTACATACATTTTTGGACAAAGTCCGAGGCAACTTGTCCTTTACCAACTCTTCTATGGACTCCTCCGGCTCCATCAATGAGGAGCCCATGCCTCTGAATATCAACGTCTTGAGTTTTGGCCATCCTTCAGCAAAAACATTCTCCACAACGTCCTCGCGAAATCGTATATCCAAAGGACTATCTACCAGTACCTTTCTGATCGATACATCCTCATCCATCACATGGCTGGACCTCAATATTGCTCGGTGTTCCAGCACGACCTCTACCGCGGTGAGACGAATAGACCGCAGGAGAGACGCCCATTGCTTCATTTCAGCAGCCTCCTTCTCAAGATCTTGTAGCATCCCAGAATACCTCTCTTCCTCTTCTTCTGGTATGTCGACCGGTAGATCGAAGGGGCCCGGCTTGCACAGTAGGAGATGAGTAAGCCTCGTTAATGAAGGCCAGTTCACCTCTAAATGGCGCATGTCGCCTGAGGGTATGTAGTAAGTTCTGCGACGAGTCCTCCAGTCGTTTGTCTCCTCCTCTTCATCTGGTTCGAAGAGCTGGGGTTCTTCGAGAATGCCGAGATCGAGACTGACGATAGTAGACGCTGAAGCCCTGCAGATGGCTGAAACAAACTCCACGGGAACATAGCCTCTCAGGCGTACATTCTGCACTTTGGTTGCGGCCGGTTTCTGGAGGAGGCCTAGAGCTGTGGGCGGACCTTTCGGATCTTCGGAGTACTCGCCAATAACCTCAATCGTACGGAGATTAGGAAGTGACAGTATCATGTTCCAGATCTCAGGCGGGCTCTCGTGCGTGACCGTAAGGCAGAGGTGTCGTGTCAAGTTCTTGATCCTACCCCAAGCTTCGGATTTTCCATTGGATGCATACATCTCCCTGATGGCAGCACGAAACTGCTAGTTTCTGCGCTCGTATTCCGCATCCTGTCCGGTGTGGTCGCGATATGACCATGAGTCGGGAGTGTGGTCGGTCAGGTAGGCTCTGGCAGGCTGCTCGTGGGAGAGGGTGAAGCATTCGTCATGGGCGTCTTGGCGGTGGAGCTCGATGCTTGTCCAGAGCGCAGACTGCGCGAACTCGCGATACCGCTTCGAAGCGCGTGCCAGCTGAGTCACATCGTGAGGTTTCAGGTAGCTGATGACCCACCAGGTCAGTTCGTTTGGCAGGGTGTCGATCATAGCCTCGGCTTTTGGTGAGGGTGCTGCTATGATGGTAGCTTGGTGTTGCAGGACACGACAGATGTATGTGGCTGTGAGGGAATGAAAGGATGAGGATGGGCCCAACAGGCAGCGGTGACGTGGCAAGGCGCTAGTGAGAGTGCACGTGCAGAGGAGGGGAAAGCGTGGACGCGAAACGCGTCATCACGTGCGCGATCCTGGAGTGATACATGGATGGCACTACAACACAGATGGGGTCGCCACATAGGATGTACTATATGTCAACAACTGATCTACGTTAAAGGCAATGTATACTCCAGAGGTAGTCAAGTACTCAACTACATCTCCATCACCATTCCGACCCATGCTTTGTAAATTTAGGAATCATCGAAATCATTCCACCAACCCCCAGCCTTTTTCTGCACAGCCTTTACCACCGAATGCAGCAACGGCGCCGTCCACCCCTTCTCCACGAACATCGTCTTTGCTTTGTCGAGATATTAGAAGGGGCGAAACGTGTTGACACGTGTTAGCACGTGTTAGCACATGTCACGACGTGCGCGATGCTGCTTGCTGCATACACAATACGATATCTTAACAATTGAACTATCTTTGAGAGGACGTATACTCCAGGTCTCATTCTACTTTTTGCTTCATTTTGCTTGCTGCATACACAATGCTGTACCTTGACATTCGACGTATCTTCAAGTTCATGTACGCTCCAGGCCTCGTCCCAGGATCATTTCATGCATATTCCTACTTGCTGCACACGCGCTATTATATCTCAACCATCGAACTATGTTCAAGCTAATGTATACTTTACGTCTTGTTATACCCTGTGGGTCATTCTGGTTGCTGCATACACAATGTTATATCTTGATGATCAAACAGTCTGCAGGGTGATGTATACTCCAGGCTCGTCCCAGAATCATCATGTGCACTACCCTGTTTGCTGCATACATAACACTCTATCTCGACAATCGAAGCATATTCGAAGTGATGTACACTCCAGGCTCGTCCAAGAATACTTACATGCACTACCCTGTTTACTGCATACACAACACTGCATCTCAAAGACTACACTATATTCAAGGTGATGTATACTCCAGGCCTCATTCTAGATACTGCGGCAATGACGCCGTCCATCCTTTTTTAACTAGTAACTTCTTCTCCTTTTCGTAACCCCCTTTCCTACTGAACACCTCCAACGTGACACCCAACTTGTGTAACTCGTCCGCCGCATATCGAAAGAATACAATATCCACCGGATCCAACTCGTGCAAAGTGACGGTGTTCATAGACTCGTTTCTAGTCTCCATGGGTACAATGAGAGAGAGATGCCTGAGAGGAGAGAACAGGGCGACGAGGATGGTGAGATTGGCTTGAAGGGCTTCAGTCTCGGACATGTCTTCGGCTTTTTCGACTGTTTCGTTGAATGTAGACACGAGCTTGTGAAGCTTATCCGTGTTGAAGCAGTCTAATGTAAGATGTTCCAGATGCGCGGGGAAGACGGCATGCGGATCTGAGAGACACTTCAGCTTGGTGTCTTTGTGCGGCACGAGTAGGCCAAAATCGACGTGTAGTTTACGGAGGTGTTTGATATCTCTGAAGGTATCGAACTGGGGGTGGCCTTCGGGTCTGTTTGACTCCTGATTTGACCACTGAAGTAGCTCCAGGAGTGGGGTATGCTTCTCTAAACTTCGTAGGAGTTCGACCAAGCCGTCTTCTTGTATACCATCAGGCTGCCAACGTCTGCCTTTTCCGCAACCAACGACCACAAGCTCTCTTAGGTTGCTCATTGCCGGGTTGTTGACCATCTTCTGAACCGCTGCAGGGGTTATGTTGTTTGCTCCAGTAAGTTGTATGCGGCGAAGGACAGGTTGTTTGGGCATAACCGATGGGTATTCGAACATTGATGCGGTAGAAAATGGTCGGAAAGACCGGACTCTGATCTCCAAGGTCCGCAAGGCGGGCAATACCATAACGGTATCCCCGTAAGGCACAGCCCCATTCATGTTAAGATGCCAAAGGCTCTGAAAGGGGCCTTCATTCTCCCTCCACTCTAAACCCAAAACGGCAGATATCCTGTAAGGTAATGGACGCCTTTGGAATTCTAGGTATCGAATGTTCTGTGCATGGCACAGAATAAGAGCCATTGCCGATTCATTGGATGAAGTACCTCCCAAGGGCGAAGTCATGATTTCACTACACCAACGCAATTTCGTTGAAAGAATATGCGGCAAACCGGAGACTGGAAAGAGAACTTCGTCCATTCTGTCCTGTATCGCGGTTTTGTATTTCCATACATCAGAACGCAATTTCTCTTGCTTCAAACTTCGGTTCGTGACCTCCTGACGGCGTACGGGTTGTGTGTAAGTCAAGCTTCCAATGTAGAGCGCAAGTTCCTTGCGGTCCAACAATGTGAAGAGTAACCGTAGCGACGTCTCAACATCGTTAGCGGCAACCTCGATATTCTTGAATAGATAAGGCTCAGCAATACCACGGTAGTATTTGTTTGTCTTAGAGAAGGCGCTGAGAGCTTTGGTGTCGCCGAGAAGACTGCTTGCGATCTGGCCATCGAGTTCGGTCGATAGCTTCTGGAGAGACATTCTAGATGTCGTTGGACCGGGTGAAGTTAAGTGTTATGGGCGCAGAAGGATTCCGTCGATATTGCGGCCGCGCTGAAGCTGGTAGATGTGACGTCTTCACTGAGGTAGGTGAATGCAGTGGTGTAGATCGAAAATGAGTCCAGCAGGTAAAAGCTGCGAGCTCGACCACCGTGAGGGAAGCATGTATCAGGAAGTGAGTGCTGTCGCGTTGACGTAGCAATTAAGAGATATATATAATTTGGTTGGCGTTGGTCGAAATTGATGGTGTAGACAGAACCCATGGTTGAGTGTGGAACTATGAGAACCACAGTCGAACATACCGCTTGGACCCTCCTTTCCCAAATTACTTGGGTACACCCGCCCATAGTGAAAGACTCATCTCTTCCCACCTGCGTGCACATGAGCATTCACTCTCACCTCTCCCACCGCCTCAACCCCATGAACATCAAGACCAACACCGCACCCACTTATGATGTAATACGATTAAACATTGACCAGCCCGAGCACACCACCTATCTATGTATACATATGCTCCTTTCCCTTTGACGCCACTTCATAACCTTCGTTGATCGAGCTGGAGAAAACGAACACGCTGATTCCGAAGAAAATGTTCCAAATGCGAGAAAAATTGCGGTCTTTCATTACCTCAACGGCGAGCCCACCCTGCCCTCCACAGGCGTCTCACCCGTCGTAACGCGTATACTAGGCAAGCGCTCTAAATTCAGATTCAACGCCGGCAACTGCGGCGCCCTCGTATTAATCGGACTTTCGTAATTCGGAGGATCCTCATACGCAGGCGCGTCTTCCCCTGGTACCATCGGTCCACTCCCGCCAACTCCACTTCCACTCCCACTATAACTCCTCTCCGGATTCAAACTCACAACCTCAAACCCTTCGGCATGCGGACTAGGGCTAGGCCCAGCAGTAGAATGCGAATTCGAGCGCGACGCATCCGCAAAGTCGTAGTCGTCGGACCCGCGGGATTCAACGGATTGGGTGAGAGATGTGACGGAGAGGCCGCGGGCGTGGGCGTCACGGCCGCGGGATTGGCCGGAGAAGGAGGCGGCGGAGTCGAGGAGGGGTCTGTTGTCGCTTTCGGAGGAGTTGGCTCGGAGGCGTGTGCCGTCGTGGCGCGCGACGCCTAGATCGCCATACGCAACAGCGCTCACGCGTCTGTCTCTCGACCGGGTCCGGGCTTGGTGCGCTGCGATGAGCATTTGTGAAACGGAGAGGTCGGCGGCTTCTTCTGCGCGGCGTCGTATATCAGCTAGGGCTTGGACGTCGCCGCGAGCGCGGGCTTCTCGTCGGGCTTGACGCCGGGCTTCGCGGTCGGTGGCTTCGATGCGGCGGGCGAGCCGGATTTGATATAGAGATTCCATTTCTTCTTCCCGTTGGCGCTCTTCTTCGTCGATGGTTTCGGGGAGCTCGAGGACTGTGTCTACGCCGCCGCGTTCGCCTTCACGGGCGAGAACGCGTTCGTTCTCTCGTGCGGCAGACGAGTAGGCGGGGAGGGTCATGACGCTGCGGACGGAGGTGTTTCTGTCGACGCCGGCACCGGTAGTGCTGTTTATTTGCCTTTCCGGGTCTCCTGCTGCTGCTCCGCTCATCTCACCACTCGCCCTGCTTGTGCTCCCCCGGTACTCGGTATCCTGCAGACTGGTCGAGTAGTCATTTCGGCGCGGGCGCTTGCGGAACGCTTTCCATGAGAATAACGAAGGGAGTTTGTCGGCGGACGACTGTTGTGCTTTCTTTGCGGCGCGGTACGGGGCGCGGAACTTGAGGTTTGAGAAGTATGTGATTATGAGGATGGCGAAGATGGCGACGGCGATGATTCCGACCTGGGGAATGCAGGGTTAGCCAGTGCGTGGTAGAGTATGGTAGAGCGATGGCGTAAACTTACTACGACAAAGGTCCTGCCCTGCTTGGAGACTTCTCTCCTCTCGAGGGCGCCGTCCCTTGCATGCCGCGCGGGTAACAACATGGCACCCAAACAACCATGCACCGGGCCCGTCCAAACGTCAAATGCGTCAACCAGAGCCTGTCACCGGAGTCTTGTTTTCACAATGAGATCACTTGTTTGGAGAAGTGTGGATCGCCCAGGCTGCCAAAGGCCCGCCTTCTTGGTTCTGTTTGGCACTAGGGAGCTGTCGAACCGTTGTGTCGTGCGAAGGTTAAGGCAAAACGTTAAGAACAAGCGGCGGGAAGCGATGTCGTGGATGCGGTTAGGATATTGGGGGTTAATGGGTGTATAGTTTGGCGACTACGGAATGGCCGAACAACAATGGGGGAGAGCCGCGAGTAATGGTCTGGCTAGGTCTGCGCCCGGAAGTTGGTCTTGGCGACCTGGCTGAGTGTTGATGCGGTTGCCGGGATGATGGAGCTGTGACCAGGGGCTGTAGCACGACGAAAGAGGAAGAATGCAGTACCATGCAGTATAGTGTAGCAAAGCAGCACTGTTTTTTCCAGTCTCTACACATTCAATCGCATCCTCAACAGTTATGCATTATGCAAGATGACAATCAGCCAGCGGCAGACGCCAAAAGCAAGCCTCATGTCATCTCCAAAACCTGCTGCTATTCTTAGGCGCCATCTCCCACATTCAAGGTCCCCACTAGCGCCGGCTCCTGATTGGCGCATCCTACTGCAGGATGATCGCATTCACATGTTTGATCTACAGCGCCGTGGCACAGAGCCACAGACAGACAAACGGCGGTCGCAATAACGGTCGTGAACAAAATTTCGAAAATGGTTATACAGTATATTTTTTGGAGTAAATGACTTGAATGGAAGTCGACGCTGGCTAATTCAACTCCAAGATGGAATACAATAGATACAAGAACCTGGGTGCGCTTTCAATGACATGATAGACTAAAACTTCTTATCCAACTTTTTCAAGAAACTGCCAATCCCCTTCTCCACTTTATCTACCCGCTTTCCGATGTTGGAGTTGCGTTGTGGTGCATTAGGGTTCTCGTGGTCTTGCACTGCGGCTTCGTTCTCCGTCGGCCGGTACAGCTGCTGATGCAGGTTTTGTCCCTGTGGTGGAGTTCCCGTGCTACCATACTGGTATTGCGCGTAGCCGGGAGAAGCCATTGGCTGGTATTGCTGGGGAGGGAATCCGGGAGATGGTAATGCAGAATGCGCGGGAGGGGATTGGGGGGCAGGAGGGAAGCCAGGCGAGGATGGGTAGTTGGCGTATTGGTGGACTGGTGCTGTGGACGTTCGCTTCATGGCTGGGGGTGGTGGGGTGCCGTTGTACTGGCCTGGTGGAGGGGCAGACGGAGGGGGTGCGAAGGATGGCGGACTTTGTGATGCACTTGGTGGGCCTGTGAAACCCTGGCCGGGCGCTGGTGGTCCTGGGAAGTATGCCCCTGATGTCGGTTGAGGCGCGAACGAAGCTTGTAGCGGGTTGCCGTATTGCGCTGCATGCTGATCGTGGACTGCAGCAGATCCAAGTCCCATACCATCGTTGGCGTCTGGTGGAGGTGGTGTCTTCTCGCGATGAGCAATTGGCTCAGGCGCGGCTGGAGCCGCCGGGTTGTATGCCATTGGAGCGTAGTTGGGTGGCTGCTCGCTGGGAGGAGGTGATGTAGGGGCGGGCGCTGTGGGAGGCCCGGGGAACGACTGTGTTGTGCTGACACTCGGAGTGCGGCTTGTGTGTGATATGGCGGCGCTTTCCAGCCTTGCGATGACTGGGCTCAGGGCGTCGTTCTTGTGTTCCGAGTGTGTTGGCGTGGCATTGGGGTTGCGCACAATCTGCATTTGGTGTGGTTGCAGCACCCTGCGAATGGAGTCGAGGAAGAGGCTCGCGTCTTCCGGCGTCCAGAAGTACAAGTCTACCGTGTGCAGCCTGTACATGTATTTGCCCTGGTTCGAGGGATCGGGTGTGGGGAGATGCCATTGCGACGTGTCTTGGTGGGGGCTCGCGCTGCCATTGTGACTCCGGAATGCGTCGACCGTGAGGGTGAACAGACATGGGTGTTTGTACGTGTGCTCGATCTTGACTGTGTCCAGCTCTATACAGCATGTCAGCTCGTGTGTCATGGGGAAATGTGTCAGCACTCACGGCCTGAAAAGGCATCCTGGTTGGGAGTGCCCGCATGGTTCGCGACTTCTATGCGCCCAGTCTGGCGCATAGGGTTGTGGTAGAGGTAGACATAGGAGCTCTTGTCGAAGCGGTGGTGCGGGGGAACCTGGGTAGGTGGGGAGATGTAGTAGTGGACGTCTGCGAAGCTATTCACAGTCAGTATGGGTTCAAGATGACCCAAGCTACCATCACTCACAGCGTCAAGAGAGATACCTCTCCCTGCTGCGGAGGCATGATGTTTAGTGTAAGATGGCAGTGTATCAGGCGTCCAAGATATCTCCAGGCCAAGATGTGGGTTATGAGGTCAGCTGTAGATAGTGAAGTAAGACGGAAGTTAGCACTCTCACATCAACGCAAAGAGAACAAAGACATATATAGGGTCGCAAGGCTGTCATCTCAGCTCCCCACGGGTGCAGCCAACAGCTGCGCGCTCTTCTATTTGCGTCGTGCTCGAAGCGCCGGGTTAGTGTCTTGTTTGGTAGGCGCCGGCCCAAGCTCTGCCGAATGGGCAGCGGGCAGCTCTGCTCCACCCGTGACTTGCGGACCTCCGAGCCAATCCAGAAATTTGCTGCATCGAGCATCGTCGAGCACGAGCATCCGCCGCCGACGACGACGCGCAATTGAGCCAGCACCCTGCATTGAGCCTCGCCGTCAACTGGAACACATACACTGGACATACCGTCGCCCACACGCATCGCGCTCGCCCACCGCCGCAGCCCAGCGAGGGCAAATTCCCACGTCCACACCCGCCAACATGTCTCTCGTCAACCTCGCACACGTCTGCTCGCACATGCAGAATGCGTCCAAAGCCCGCCTGGGGCTGACGTCAATACCCGTCTCTAAGATGCACGTCAACATCGCGCTCGGCCTCCAGCGGGAAGGCTTCCTCTCCTCCGTGACCCTCGGCGGGCCC